CCCCGCCCCTCTCTTCACCCGAGTGTCCAAGACAAACGGCCGGAGGTCAGATGAAACAACTACAAAGTTGATCATCAACCTCCCGCCTAGGGTGTCCCGGTGCAAGGTGCACTGATGGACACCCTTATGTTTGAACATGGTGTTCGTTATGGACAAACTGTGGCTAGCACAGAAGTCCAATAACAAAGCACCACTTGGGTTCAGATCAGGGGGGACGTTCCTCCCAATCTCGCCCCTCCAGGTGTCACCGTCGCTGCCCACGTGGGCATTGAAGTCCCCCAGTAGAACAACGGAGTCCCCAGTTGGGGCCTTTACCCAGCACCCCTCCCAGAGACTCCAAGAAGGCCGGGTACTCTACACTGCCATTCGGCCCTTAGGCACAAACAGCAGTGAGAGACCTATCCCCGACCTGAAGGCGCATGGAAGCGACCCTCTCGTTCACCGGGGTAAACTCCAACACATGGCGGCTAAGCTGGGGAGCTATGAGCAAGCCCACACCCGCCATGGTTAAACTATTTTGTCATTGTTTTAAGTTATCACAAATTGTCCTGTTCATATGTGTAGTTATGAGTACGGGTTTTATTTGAGACAAGTGCAGTTGGGGCGATTTGTGGGTGCACGTGTTCTGTCGTGTGTGCTAATTAATGCGTGGTTCTATTCCAGAGACGCATGTAGCAGATGATCACCCCATGTGCTGTGACTCATTTTATTTTTCTTTGCAATTACCCAGGTATGTTCCACACAGTATTTGTTCATAATTGTTCACACTGGTTAGACTTACATTAGCACTTAATATAATTTAATGGTAATAGTTTATTTTGTGATTTGTGTAACTCAGTTTGTGCTCTCCAAGCTGAGAGAAGAGACGCATGTAGCAGATGATCACCCCATGTGCTGTGACTCATTTTATTTTTTTTTGCAATTACCCAGGGGATAATTAAAGTCAACCAGTGTGACAACAGTGGTCAGTGGCATTTATTCAACATATAACACAACGCAGAGTACACTAACCCCGCCGACGGCCAAGGAGTGTTGCACCCGGTAGAGCCCGTTACACATCTAACCTATTAGTTTTAAGGCAGCACAGTAAATCCAGAGCCCGTGCATAGAGTGCTACAAGACACATCCTGAATGCACCTTTAAGAGAGGCAAATGCAGCAGAAGGCAAAAGAGAGAGCCCAGTCACAGACCAAAACAAAACCCAAATTTTCAAAGCAGCACTGACATTATTCAGCTCATAATATATAATGCATTGACTGCTAAGAGCTCTGCAGCTTAAAATTCTAACTTGGATAAATGCCTTAATAAAGTGTAAAGACAACAACTGTAACTGGCAGATCCAATCAGCTCTTGAATTTAATCCAGTTGAGTACAGGGTATACAACTAGTCAGTATTTCACCAGCAAAAAAACAAATTCCACCTGCCTGGTTTTGTGATAATGAAAGCAGCTAAATCTCTAAAAACAGATTGCACCATCGAGCCCAAATTACAAAGATTCTAATTTCATCTGCAGGCATAATCACTCAAGGCTGACAGATTTTGTTTGACAGCTTGTGTACTGAAATTCAGTCAACAAGGTGCTGGAGTGATATAAAGCCAAATATGAAAGAAAAGTCAGCAACAAGAAACTGCTTAAAAGACCTACTGATACTGTAGCTTTCTTGTTCATCTCATATCAAATTTTATTCATCTATCATGACCTAGTTTTTCTAATTTCTCTCCATTGTTCATAATTAACCCAAACAATTACAATGTTTGTGCTTTTAACTATAACCAGTGAAATACTTTATCTTGAGTACTGGCTATATAACATTAAGATACAAAGTGCCAAGTTTGCAAAAACTAAACCCTAGAAATGTCCATGGCTGGATTAAAGAGGGCTGAAAAGATTTGTAGGGGGCTGAGTGCTTAAAGGCATGTCAGTGTCAATAAGACCTTGAATACAGTGTGTACAGAAAACATGTACACAAATGTGAGGTAACAGGCATAATGGTGCAAAGAAGAAAAACACTTGACTTTATAGAATTACAGAATTAAAAGCTAAAAGATACTGTGGCCCTGAAAGTTCAAAGCACTACAACTCAGGAAAACACATGCAAATAGACAAAGTGCAAACTAATTAACAAAATGACATCATATAGCCTACATTTACAAAAAAGCTAAGCCTACACAACCAAACACAGAAACTCTGCAAATATTGCAGCACAAACTACAATGGAAATGTTTCCAGGGGATGATAAAAAGGGATGAACACAGCTGGGACATGCTTGTTGTTGCTATGGTGACTCATGACTCCCAGCATGCCTATCATGCTGCAAGGATGTAGTATTTGTTCTGTGGTCATTTTATTACTTATAGCTCAGGTAGGTTTCTTAATGTGGCTCATCTGTCATCTCGAATGGTTAGTCATCTACTGAGGAAGGTTTCTAATGTAAATGAGAACAATGCTACCTTGTTATACATTTGTTAAAATCATTATCTTTTGGAAGCGCAATGGAGAAATCAGACAAAAATTCATTAAAGCCTGACTTCCATCTCATGCCACGTCTTGTGGTGTCAACTGGGCCTTTTGCAATGTGTAACAATTGAATATACTGTAGTTCACTTCTTCTGTAATGATACCAATGTGCTTGAAGGGTACCACAAAAGTCAAAACAGATCTTCTGAAAGCCTTCAGATACTGTACAACATCTGAAAACCTGTTAACATTATAAGGGAATAAAAGCATGGGCTAAGTTAAGTACATGACTAAGGAGTATTATGTTCTGTACTTGCAGCAGTGGCCTGGCACTGGAGAAAAGTCAATAAAAGGTCAGTCATCTTTACCGACCATCGCTGAAAATTTGCTGTATAACTCTAGAGAACAAAAATAATTATAGAGGCAGGACATATTAGTTGTTGCAGAGCCCATCCTTCAGTTGTCATACTGTCTCTACCAGCTTTGCTCTCTCCAGAGGGGGCTGGGATCGATAAAAAATGACAGTGTTTAAAACATGACATAACACTGCTTGCTGAACTGATTTATTTAGCCTGGTGTTATCAAAGTTATTACAAACAAACAATAGTCATTAAACCTCATGAGCACAGATTAATATTTCATGATGTGAAACTGCTGTTAGACTTGTTATCTTGTCAAAAGGGGGATATTCATCATCACTGCCACGTGCTGGGATTTCTGTCTTGAAGAGTAATTTGTCAAAGAACAAAAAAACTACAACACTGGGTAAACATTTCATGTGTAAATGTAAATACGAAGTGAAGAAAACTTGGATTAGAGCATTTTGTATGCAAGTTTGTGCATCACACACCGCAGAGCTTGTAAAACTGGCAATTCATGTTTAAATTCTAAAAAGCCATTTATTCTGTGAAGTTCACAATACCACTTCATGTAAGACTACAAGTTATTGTGCTGTGTGGTTAGGATATTTAAAAGGATGGCAATATTTTGTCTTCCTACCATGTGTTTACAGTGTGTTCATACAGCCACAGTGGACTGCACTTGTTCATCAATAAGGCTTCTGTGAACCATTAGTTGAAGAGTTAAACCATCATTCAGCCAAATGCTTGTGGGAGAAATGTGTTATTGACATATTTGATGGATGCAAAGGAGGAAATGCTACAGCTTTGCCTCTTTTATAAAGTCAAGCTCCAGTGAAAAATCTATATATAGTTTGTTTCTTCTGTCAGAAAGGTCACGCCAATTTGATCAAAGTTAACTCTACCAATTTGTGATAGCGCCGTTCAATCAGGGTTGTTGAACAATTTCCTGACCACATCTGAATCTTTAGAAATTAAAAAAACTCTATACTGATAAATGCCTTGTCCTGAAAATCTTCACTCGATGCGCTACAGTGTTGAGACAGTGTTTCAGACACAGCAGAGAACTTGACCATGTCTCTAAACGATCCCTTGAAAGCAGCCTGAATCTCGCAAAATGATCCAAAATGACCTGTATCACCTTAAAGGCTGGAAGAATTGAAATATATTAGCCTCTTCTGTAGAGTCCATTCCCCATGGTGCTGGGGGTATTTTCTCCTAACTGAACTGAGGGCTTCCTTTGTAATAGACTATAACAAAGAGTTATGGATATGAGATGTCACAGGGATAAGGCTTGCCATTAAACTGTGCAGTAGCCTACTGTACTGTATGTCAGGCCTTCCTCTTCACCAACGCTACAAAGAAATGGTGCGAGATGAAGATGTAACAATCATTATCTGTTTGAAATTCTTTGACGTTGCTCCTTTTTCTCTCTTATGGGTTGCCCTAGAGCAATGAAGGTACTGAGGAAATTTGTAGACTACATAAAAGTTTGAGCAATGTAATAGAAAACAGCCCTTTACCTCAACCTTGCTGGCCAGTGTTGAGTGAGCTTCTAGTTGTAATCTAAAATGCAGTCACTCTCCATGGTGTAACAAACAAACAAACAAAAAACTAACCACATGTAAATGAAAAACATTATTTTAACCACTTAAGAGCAACCGCATAATTAAGTCTGTATATTACAAGCAACTTGCCGTATTCTCAAGTACTGCTTTTATTCACTAGTGATGTACAACCTGCTTGGCAACACACCCAGAAAGACGCAGCTGTTTTAGCAGCACAGTGATAAATGGATTCGCATTACACAATGACGCAATATATATTGTTTAGCATAACAATCTTAAACACAGTGGTTCAATCTAAAGGTAATATTCCTGAGAGCTCTTTCCTATATCCATTGCCAATTGCTGGCAGTGGTCAGCAGTGAAATTAAATTAGGGTAAGCACTTTATCTCGTACAGTAGCTCCCTGTGAAAGTGCACTATACAGCCCTGTTATAAGGTTATCTCATTATGCATTCTTGGGATATGAGCTGGTATAGGTATCATCACAGAATGATTTCATTAACTAATCAGATCCAGCTTTGTTCTTAGCTGATTTGTTCTCCACCCAGCTCCAGATCCTTGAAGACATTATCCCTGGAAGATTAGAAGGAATTATGTGTATTTTAGTTGAGCCACTGGGATGAATTAGTGTTGTGCCACTGCTGTAATAGCATCGGTAGCAGCCCCATTTCAATATGGAGGAAAGTAAATGCTAATGAGCCAGGAACTGGGGAATATGCTTGTGAAAGATACTGCAATAATGTCAAAGCCAAACATCTCGTACGCAGCTCACCCACTTCAGAGTGAGGCTGCAACGTTTAATCTCAAGTGGCAAATCTTGCCTTTATGGGTACAAATAATATTGCACACTGCAATAAGGATACATTTTCCTTCCAGTATTTAAGAGGATGATAAATCTGCAAGCTGGGTCTAACACTTAGCAGGAGTTAGTGACACAATCCTGGTGCTGATTCTGCTGCTCTCCCTCATACAAATCTCTCTTTTGCAAACGAAATGTTGCAGCCTCAGATCACACCTTTAGATTTCCCAGCATCTGGCTGAGAGGGGGATGTGAGATATGGCTAAACCTGAGCCACTCCTACTGTGTTGAGGATGGATATCCCAGAGGTTAGGTGTGGAAAAACTGCTGAGCCAGTTTAACAATTAATCCCTTATCAAATGAGAAATCTGGTCCCCCACAACATCACCACATGTGACAGCAGGTGTGCTTTTCCTCCTGCTGGTACATTTCTGCAGAAAATAAAAATGTTCTCAAACAGAGAAAATGGATCAAGCGAGTAAACTGTGGAAATCTCAACAGTATAAAGCCAGATTTTTCTAGCCCGAATAACATTTTTTCCTTTTTATTCTCTCTCTATCATACGGAGGTATTGCATTGATCTGTACTTAACCCGATTTGTAATAAAACAAGGTGCCCTCATGTCACTGCCACTGTCACAGAAGAATGTATGTTGTTCAGCAGTTAGCCATTGATCAGTCCTTTTGGGGATTTCATTTGCTTCCTCACCGTCTCAGTGGTAGCATGGATCATCGTCTGCCTTGTGCTCTAATGACCCTCCAGGCCTTACAATCTGCTAATGAGCTGATGGATCAGTGCATCGATCCAAGTGCAGCAGTCTAGGAAAGGCCAATTACCTTAAGTAAACAGTGCAGAAACCAGCTCAGAGCACAGCCAGAAGTACAATGGAGTTCAGGAGGAAAAAAATTTTGATGGCAGAGAGAAAGCTGTGGAGTACAGACTGTGTTATGCAATTCAAATTGTACTGTGTCACACAGTGATTCTGTTGTTTGCAGTTTGTCACCATGAATATCAAGTACGAAAAAATAAAAACAAGTCTATGAAATACTATTCTGCAAGTAAAGCAGACAAATGAAACTACTGCGGCCCTGCACACAGTGCACTTCTTGTTCTACACAAAAACACGGTACCTGTGGCTCTCTCTCAGGGCTTCCTTCCCTTTCCTCCAAGATATCACACCCCGTGGAGACATCCTTGGCTTGCATTCAATCAGAACATCACCACCCTGTCGGCCCAAAGTTTGGGCTTTTAGCAAGTTCTGGGAGAAGTCCGGAGCGATGGCTGGTGTGGAATGTGAAAAGACAATGATGTATGAGGGAGATAGGAAAGAAGAAGATATAAAAAGGTTTAATTTTTTGTTGGAGCAAGAGAAACAGACGAGCAAAGTGGCCAGGGCTACTGAGCAAATGAGCGTGGAGAAGCAGCCCAAAAGCATGCAGGTCATTCCATCCATTAGGCAGGTCAGCTCTCACATCCTTTACTTTCTACACACATATACAGGAGTTTTCACAAAGACATGTATGCTCAAATGCAGCAGAACTGACATGGTGGGTTTTACAATTCCACAGTTTCTCCTGTGAAGGACATATGCATTAAGAATTAAGCTGTAGGAAAATAAAAGTGAGAGAATGTAAAACGAGAGGCAGTCTTTGTTGCCGCTCCTTTTAGGCCTTAATTACTAAGGCACCGTCATCTGGAGCTGTTTTGTATGCACACCAGCTCAGCAGAAAGCTTTTCAAAGTGAACACACAGCCTGGCGCCAGTGACATGGCTGAGCACCTGCCAACGCATGTCGGTGCGCGAGCATACACGGCAATACACACCGTAATACAAAAGTAATCATGCATACATCACAGGTAACAGTTATTTCTTGGCACTAATTGTAAAATGCCAGCAATTCCTCGAGCAACACAACAAATACTTGTCACACTTGTCTTCTCGTATACAAAGCAGGAGTCTGACGAGCTATAGTTTCCATAAAATCTGATATAATGCACATTCAAACAGGTTCTCTGTCTGTAGGGAAGCAAGAAATGTCTATACATGTTGTGTGTGTGTGTGTGTTCTTGAGAAAATTAGAATCATTTAGTAAGAGTTATACTATGAAATACTGTCCATCTAGCAGAGCTGTAACTATTAATCAAAGAAATAACTGTCAGATTACTTGATAATGAAAATAACTGAGTTGCAGCCCAAAGTGGAGCATGTATATATTTATTAGAAATGTCTTTACAAGTCAGCAAGAGGTTTGATGATAGTTATAGCGTCTTACAGATAGATGTTACCCATTTACTTGACTTATACCAGTCTACCTTTTCCCAGTTCTTAAGCCTGCAATACCTGAAAGTATTGAACATTTTGCTGTATTCCTATATCTGTGTATTGATATTTGCTTTTGATTTCAACCTCTATTTTTAAAAACTGTGACATGAAGTTCCTCTTCCCCGATTAGATTGCTGCTGCAGTTAAACTAAACTCTGGTAAATTTCTCTCTTAACTAGCCTCAAATGTCTATCTGGTAATTTACAAATACAGGGAACAAAGCTTAGTAACCTACTAAAAGTTAAAGCTGATATTTTGGTAGCTAGTAGGTTACTAAGCTAGCAGATCTGTTATTTTAAGGTGAACAGAGGATCTACAGTAACTTGTGGACTGACATTATCTGGTCCTAAAATGATAATCACAATACAATACAGGCATGTTTTTATTAAAACAAAGATAAAGTCACATGGCATCAGAATATTTCATGTTATAATACATATTAAAGTTAAATCAAGAGGCAACAAGCAATTATATCCCTTTACAAAAGAAAAAGCCTGAAAAGGTTAAAGGTTAGAGTTTTCCACCTGTCATGAGAGAGAAAATCCTCTCATAACGTGATATCTGGTGCAATTCTGCAAAAACATACAGTGACAACAAAGATTTCAACTAGTTGTTATCTATTTGTAGCATCTATAAGCCATCCTGTTAGCAATCTGTGACAACAGACAAGTGAAATTTAATGAATATTGTACCAAAAAATGAGCAAATGCACGATTCCTGTCCATCACTACCAATATGCCATTACATTACATCTCCAGTCAAGATAATCAAGTCAAATTTCAACCTTCCCAGCTGAGGTCAGACCAGCTATTAATTTGGTCATTTGATTATGAAAGCAGGACTTCTAGTCAAACGAATTATGGACATGAAAGTTCTTTTTCTTCAGTCTGCTCCCCACTGACAAGAACAGAAACAAAATTTGGTTTTGATTTGCTCACGATTAATTTATATGGTAGCAGAGGATGAGTATTCCCCTCAGATCTACTGCACAGCCTTTTGCAAATGCTCACAGATTTAAAAAAAAAAAAGAACAGAAAAAGCGCTCCGATACAAAAGGACAATTAGGGCACAAAGTTTTTATTAAATTATTCTGGTGATCCAATTGGCAAAAGACATGGACTACACATGTCGCAGACGTGTAGCAAATATTCTGCCAATATGAAATGTTCTGTCCACCTTTAATTATAGCACCCCTACCAGGCTGACTAGTATCGTATTTATTTTAGCAGCATGTGCACCTGCATCATGTTGCCAAATTTATGTGCCTATCATGTAGTATTTCACAGTAATTCAGAAGATGGCATGAGCACAACTCACACCGAATGTATTTAAAAATAATCAAGTCTTGTGTGCTTGGGCTTACCTATGACTCTGAGCTCAGCGTTGGTGAAGATTCTCCCGTGCTTGTTCTCTGCCACACACTGGTACATGCCGATGTCAGCCAGATTGAGGCTACTGATGGTTAGCACGCCGTTATTTACCTGAACTCTGTCCTGCTAAAGACACGCACACACAAACATACACATGCGTGCATTTAACTTTAAGTAACTTGAGAAATGGAAGCCGCTGTGCTCACCTAACAACAAACACTAAACAGGTGTAGACAGTCGGCAGAAGATGCATTAATGGCAAATCATCATCATGAGCATCAGTACCGGTAGAGGTTTTGGCACCCTAGGCGAACACCCCTAGACCACCTAAAGGAACCACACAAAACCACCTAAAGGACACAGTCTTAGGCTTTCTCCAAGTCCAAAATGCAAACTCCCATAAGACCCAGCATCCTTGCTAGAGTGAAGAGTTTGTCTACTGTTCCACGGCCAGGATGGAAAGTAGGAAACAGCCACTGTAAATTCTATTACTACACCAATCAGCCACAGTACTATGAACACCTGCCCATGTACACAGGAGTCAGTGAAGCAGTTGGTTGGCATTATGTGTGAATCCGTTTGCTTCCATAGTTATACTGTCCGGAAGGGCACAAATGTGTCGACCACTCAGTAAAAACTTGCGTAAAAGATGCCATTGTAATGAGATAATCAGCGTTATTCACTTCACCTGCCAGTGGTCATAATGTTATGGCTGATTGGTTTGTTTTGTTTGGCGCGGTATTTACCTTAAACTATAGTCTACAGAAAGTCAACAACCTTTAAACATATCTGACTGATTTTTAATGTATTTAACAAGTGTGTTAGGTGTGTCCATACGCTAAACAGTCCAACTGCTGCTATAACAGTATCATGTACTAGGTGTTAATATGTTGGACAAAACCACTTTGAGGTGGATAATTAGAACTATATACAGACATTAAGTACTTCAGCGCTGTGTTCATTCTGAAGAATGGTCTGATCTAATTCATGCTTTAGCTACATTCTCTCTCTCCATGGGGTGTTGATAACTAAAACACAGCTAATTTTCTGTGGTCTTAATTGCCCCACTGTGATTAGATATAACCCCCCTCTGCTTAACTCTAGTGTTCAGACACTGTCCAGCAATGGTTGTCTGAATTACTGGAGCTGCAGAATTCAGGCTGTTTTGTACTCCACCAAGTACAGTATCACAGAGAGTTAGGTGTCAGAGGAAAAGTTACTCAGCATGTGCATGAGAGTTAAACAAAGCTGGTGCAGCAGCCTTTGGGGTCTGTGGGCCCAGATGCTGGGATTCTTTGCCAGATTGTAGTGCTCCAACTTTAGCAATATTTAAACACAGACAGAAATCTTTCCTGTTTTCAAACAGACTGCAATTACCTGTATATTTTCATGCTGCATATACATGTTCTGTTTGCTTTTTAACATGGAGAACGCGGCATCTCTCTTGTAATATAATGCACTATATAAATAAATTCTGCTTTGCTCTGCATGTAATGCTCTTTGTTAAAAATAAGCACACAATTTTAAAAATGCCTACACAGAGTATAGACAGTACTAACAACACCTGAAGTTCTTTTCCCACTGCAGCTTTTGACCTTTACAAGGTTTGGCACAGTGTTGTGCTCCCTTTTTATAGTTGTGTCAATTTAAAAGTGTGGCAGCACTCGTTGTTCTTGCCCTTGATCTTTTCCACTGAGTACAGCCGGACCTTTTAATGTCACTGACAAAGTAGTCCAGAGGGTCCTGCTGCCAGTCTGTCTAGAATCACTACGGTGCTGCCACTTCAAAAGACAAGGACTGTCCCTTAACAGTCAGCCAGCCACACTGCTGAGGATCTTCAAATATGACCCTGAGACCCAGTCATATGGTGGACATATAGCTGAACTAGTGCTAAAGCCACTGCCACAGGGGTCCAGGGCAAGGATAGACGCGTTTCCAAGAGGAGCACAAGCCACTGGGTTTTTGGATGGGGCTGGATGTTCACATGTGCATTCACAGGAGAAAGGATGAGAGAGAGTGAGTGAGGAACACAAAGAGAAAAAGAGAAAGTGTCATAGTGACTTTGAATAGATGATAGATGGTCCTTTTTAGGTTACACAGTGCAAAGGCCCAGGGGGATGAAATAGATAATAGAGATCTGTACAAGTACATGGGTTGATGCCACACAATGCTATTCTGTACCCACTGCCCTGTTCAAAACCCTCAGATACACAGCGGTGGCTCTGTCACAATCATTTTAGCACTCAAGACAAATGGTGGCACTCGTGTACTTTATGGAAACCGTTAATTATGCTCAACTTTTCTTTGATACCAGCATGGTTTCAAGTCAAGCTGACACACCGTATGTCGGTGATATAATGATCCTGTTCCTGATTGCAGCAGGTACACTGAATGTGTGCTACAATAACTGTTAACCCCTGCGAAAACAGGTTCCCAACTTAGCAGATCGAAGGTAGAAAAATCTCTAAACATGCTCTTAAATACAGTAATTTAGGGGAAAGCTGGTGGTGGTGGAAAAATACAAGCAAGAGTGGGTCCTTGTTTCACCAGGGTGACATTTTGAAGTGACAGCCCTCCTCTGTGCCATTTAATTTCCTGGGAGGGGGGCCCAAAACGAAGTGGAGAGAGGGAAAAGTGGGAGGACACAAGCATGACAGAGAGTGTACATTAAGAAAAACAGCACCACAGATGCAGAGATAAAGAGAGAGAGTTGAAGAGGAGGAATGATCCATTCTAATGAGGAATAACAAATGGACCCCCTTGGCCTTCGTCTCCTTCTCCGTCTCTCTCTACATCACTGACCTTTGAGTTTGGAAATTGATTTACTGTTGCCGCTGTTGACGGTGGCATTTTGAAAATGGTAACACCCCACGTCATTAAAATAGCCACATGTACAGAGAATATGTTACCTTAGCCATGTGCCAAAGGAATTTTTACAATGTCATTTACCAATCAATACTGGCGTGACGGACAAGTGATAAGGCTTTAGTGGTTAAGGATTTATGACAAGTAGAAGAACTGATCTTTGTCAGTCCTCCAAAATTGGCACTTCAAGTATCCAGCATTCCATCTGTATTACAGAAAACCAAGCACACCCTTCTCCTTTATAAACGTGTACACCAAAATACAGCAGCAACGGCCCAGTTTGGGGCTCATTACCCAATCCAGACACTGGCACTATCAGTGACTTTGATTCACCAGAGGTTTTTAGACTGCAAGCACAGTCACTGCAGCCCCACACTGCCACAAAACAAGTCAAATGATGTAAAGGTGAAATGTATTTTGGTTGATAAGGCATTTTCACCCTCCACATAGAGAAGAGACTTGATGATAAAATAGGAGACAGGAGAGCTTGAGCACTAAAATTATAAACAAAGTCCCTGGTTGATGACAGGCAGAAAATGGCATCATTTTGGCTCCTTAGCAAAACACATACAAACACCCTCCTCCAACACATACACACATACACACACACTTCTGATGCCAAATTTAGTCCCAAGCAAACACAGCCATTTCAAAATCAAACGTTTTTGCCAAGTACAAGGCCTGCGAGTTGGAACCATTATGTGCTTCTAATGCAAAATGAATTCGGCAAACAGCGTGTACTGTAACACACAGTGCATGCTTTAAGTAAGAATTCTGTCATTTTACCATCTTTCATCTTACACATTAAATTAGGCTCATCTCCACTCACTGAACTGTTGACAGGGCTGTTGTGACAAAAATATTGACAACCTTTTAACAATACATGTCTGTTCATTTGAGCCTTGCAGCTTATTCAGCAATCTTAATATGTTGGTTGCCAAAAGAGTGTAAAGTTGAGCACTAATAAAATATCAGTTTCTTTTCATCAAAGGGGGTCCCCTCACCTCCATGGGGTCCAGAGGCTCTCCATTTTTCAGCCAGCGATATGAGGGCTTGGGTTTGGCACTGGCTTTGCATTCCCACACCAGAGTGTCATCAATGGTCTTCTGAACATCCTGAGGCTTCTCAGTCAAGTGAGGTGCAGCTGTGAGGTCAGAGACCACGTTATAAATTAACACTTCAGTGCTAAATCAATGCCTGAGCATTAGCAGTATGCAGAGGTTTTACAATAAATCAATAAACCGAGTGAGTGGGCAATCAGTTAATTAAAGCACCCAAAGGCGCAAATCATAAATCCACTTTTAATTAACCCAAAACTGATCTCTCTTAAAAAATATATAAATACAATTCAACTGTATAAGCTTAAAATGGGGAAGGATCAAAAAACTGATAGTGTTATATTTTTTGTAATGCTTGCAATTAACAACATGGACAATATTCCCTTTTTGTCTTTTGAAACATCAGAAATCCACCGAGAAAACGCCTCTGTTTATGATGCTGGTCCTATCGTCGCATATATGACTAGCATCTTATTTCTGGTGACATATACATACAAGAAGATTTACAGCCCTTGTGATGTACCCATACAAATACGAGACACCTTGTCAGGGTCAAGGTAGTTAAGTCAGTCTGTCTGCTTGCCCAGCTGTGTTACTTTGATAATAGTAATAATCTTTATAATAATGCAGTAAATTTTTCATCCTAATGTGCTCTGTGGGGCTCAGTAAGGGATCAAAGTTTGGTTTTGAGGTGAAGCTGACTGTCCAGAACAGATGGTGTTTTAGAATCTGTGTTCTTGTCAGCGTAAAAAGACAATATCATAAAACCATTAGATGACAGTAAAATGTCTGTAAGTATAAAGATAACAATGCTGTGCTGATGAATGTCAGTGTTTCTTGTTGATTACTTCTCTTTTTATCTTCTTTGGTAAGAGTGCTGCAATCATTGCCTGAAGTGCATTTAATTTGGTAAGGACAAATTTTAAGAGAGAAAGCTTACAGAGACACAGCAAGCAGACCCTTATGAGAATTGAGATAATATTTTGTTATGCTCTTTTCATGAAAAGAAATTGCATAGTAAAAAAAAAAAATCTGAACCAAGCAAGCAGTAATAAATTAAAAATGTTTCACTATTCAGTAGACAGAAACAAATAGCAGATGACACACTGATAACAATATTACAAATGAGACCACTAGAGATAACATCATAGAATAGGAGATATGGTGCAAACAGCTTATATGCCAAGTCACTCTGATCATGTCTGAAACAATATAAACACAGTAAACTGCTAAACCATGATCTAATTTCATAAATCCCCTGGAACTACAAGAGGACAATTAAGTGGCAAATTGAAAGAGAGGCCACCCCTCATTGTTCCTTTGGATGCATTGGTTAGGTGTCGCAAACACCACATCCCCATATTGATTCTCCTATTCTTCTGTAGAGTTGATGGATGTCCCACAAGCTCCTGTCCAGTTTAAAATGAGATTACAGATTTTTATCACCTGGCAGCCGGCCAGTTGGAGAGGCTTTGAGATGAGACCAAACTTAAATCTTACAAGAAGAAACAGGACTTCCAAAACAACAGAGAAAAGGTGGAGAGGCCATGTGACACAGAACTGAGGCAGTGACAGATACAAGATTCAAGTTATGACCTTGTTTACGAAAAGCCCATAACATGATCATATTATGTTTGATTGTTTTAGGGCCTCTCAGTCAGGAATTATACGCTGCTCTATGAAGTGGCACTTCTCTTTAAAGTAAAGCATATTTAATTCTCAGTCTGCCTACAGGTACTGCGAGCATTTCATCTTACCCACAGGTGCTACAAAAAAAAACTATTATCATATCAAAGGCGCCTGAAAGAAAAAGCTGGAGTTGATGATTTCAGTCAAGCATAACCCTACAGGGCCTTGTGGGCAGATATCAGTGCATAAACCGCAAAATAATGGAGACAGAAACCATAAAAATCCTTCATCAAGGGCCATTAAAAGCTTTCTCAGAATATAGACCATAAGACCAGTGTTGGTATGGGAAAGAAAAAAAATCAACTTTCCCTGAAAGGTGGTATAAATCTATGCACGCTACAGCCACTGGCACAATAAAGAGCTTGTCAGAAATGAACTACTAGTAATAGTTTAATTTACAACCACATTCCACTATATGATGCAGTTATATATGGGCTCTAATAAAAGCTACAGATTGCAAGACAACAAATAAACCTTTTTGTTAGACTCACACCAAAGCTACATTAATATACTGCAAGATTTTCCATTCAGGCTCAGTAGCAGTGAACCTTTCAATGGAGAGAAGATTTGGTAAAAGTCTATAAATGTACATGAAAGGTTAGGAAGATGACTGATGGGTTGATGGCGTACGATACGTCCTGGTTCCCATGACAAGCAGTGTGAATTTAAGCAAAACTATCTTCCTTACCATAGAAAGACAACTTTCCTTTAACCGAGTTTCTTCCTCTGCTGTTTTCAGCCACACATTCATATACTCCTGCATCCTCCTGCTGGAAATAGGGAATCTCTAAAACTCCACTGGCTTTACTTATGTCCACTTTCCTGCTAAAAGAGGCTCCATCCACTCTTCTCCAGCTGATGTTTGGCACTGGGCTAAGGGCAGAAAAGTAGAACACATGCCGTAAGGACAAACAATAAAAAATATTTTTAGACATATGCTACCAGTATATGTAAAAAAACAACACACAAATCATGTCAGTCTATGTTTAATCTGAAACACAAACTGGTGAATGGTTTTTCTTTGTACAGTATATCCTGAGTGCACAGCATTTAAATGTGAAATCTTCACAGGGTCCTCACACATTACTATGCAGCTCAGAGTGATACTGTAAACAACTAATAACATAGTTATGACTATGGCACAGTTAGACACAGTGGGACATACTTTCCAAGTGCAAAACATTCCAGTTTGACAGTTGAGCTTTTAGCGACAGGGACGACTTCAGGGAACTGCACTTCAATCTTTGGTTCGTATTCGCCCATCACACCTAGAATTACAAAAAGAAATGTAGATTTGATGCCATGCATGTCTGAAGAGAAATCTCTCAGCTCACAGCTTGTCTTATTTTACTCTGTATAGTAAGGGTGGTACTTCCATACCATCAACCCGCAGCACTAGAGGAGTCAGCGGTCCTTGAACACTGCTTTTGGTGACTGTGTTGGTGACTACACAAGTGTAGTTGCCCACATCAGAGGGCTCTACTTTAGCAATGTAGAGGTTTCCTGTCTTTTGGGACACAAACCGCCGTGTGTCCTGAACGACGAACCATGGGTACTCGTTGAAGATCCATGAGAAGGTAAGCTCTGTGAACAAAGTCAGGGATGATCAATGTGTGGGACACAGGTCAAAACCACAGACTGTATTTATACATCATCTATACCCGTGTACAGATAATGCTACTTCAGTAGCAGTCTTAGCAGTTGGTAGATTGGCTTTTCAGGGAGCAAGAGCACATATTCACATTCACATAAGGAATGTCTAAAGGGGCATGCTTCACTTAAAAGTTGACTGAAAACATGAGAAGTTAGGTGGTGGTTTAATGACTAATACACTTAAAACCAGTGAATGAAGTCTGTGTGCTCCACTCCTCAGTGTCATCAGGATAATGCCTTGTTCAAACCAACGACAGGACCGTGTTTTAAAAAAAAAAAAAATAAATAAATTGCACCATGCTATTTAAATTCATTCAACAGGGTACACTCTGTGCAACAACCTCATGTGGAATATGGACAGTATTACTGTGTTTCTGGGCCTTCTTTGTATTCTTATGGCTACCTTTATGGCTGCTTTGCTATGTATAGTATTACTATTTACCATTGTTATGTCAAGTCACTAAACTTAGAGTCCCAGTCGATTTGAGTCTCCGGTGTTTGAGACCGAGTCAGGTCCCAGTCACCAAAGAATAATCCCAGTCGAGCCTGAGCAGAGTCCAAGTTGAGTCCGAGTCGAGTCCCCATTACCCGAGTCGGAGCCATCAAGGGCTACATTAAACACAACGGACCCAGCTCTCGCCATTTTATATTCCAAACATTCTAAATGTGTATTGCATCACTCTATTGTATGGCAAATTGATGTATAAGCATCATTTACAGAAAGGCAGAAGATACACTTTGATGGAAGTGCGCCCAATACAGGGTGGTGTGGGTGAACTGCTTTTAATATCAATATCTTAGGCCAAATTATTATGGCCTATTACAAACAGACTAAACAAAAAGAGTTCAACTCCTCTTCTCCAACTTCTGACTCTGAATACAGTCTGGACTCGAGTCAGCGTCCTGGACTCAAGGACCACATCACCGCTATTTACCATTTCTCTCTATTCATTAGGTCTCTCTTTTTTATTATTATTTTGAGTTTTTAATTTTCAAGGACCATAAAGCAATTTTGTGGTATCACATATGTACTAAAAGATGCATGTAGGTCTCGACACTGAAGGCACCAAAAAAAAAAAAAGGCAACACAAAGAAACACTGTCCTCCAAATACACCATGTTGACCAGTCACACAAGTGCAAACACACTTTTTTGTGTTTTGGTAACTCATACGCCCTGAAACACATGGATGCATTATTCAAACAGACCATACTGGATCATACTGCGTTTCATTTGCTCTCTGCTACTGGAAGCAACACGCCAGCATCAATAAAACCCCTTGCATTTCTTTTAAACACAGTGCTCCCTTTCTCTGAAGATGGCCTTGGGCTGTGGCTGTTTAATTCAAATGTCTGTTAAGTGTGATGAGCATTACTTTAAAAAAAAGCATTTGAACTCACACCATGTAAGTTGGTGTGTATTATATTACCACTATATTACTAAATTATGCCATGTTTTATTTCATTTCAAACATTTTATTTCATCTACCTTTTTTCTTACTTCTTAGATTTATTGCTTGATAAGAATGTATTTAAAAACATAGAGACAGGGGTTGTACATAAACAAAAAGCATCTCCCTCTGTGGTTGTCATGTAGCAGCAGAAGACCTTAAATCAACCCTGAACCTGCAGTTCCTTCAGAAAAAAAAAAAAAAATAAATAAAAAATAAAAAAAAGTATAATACCCAATAAAACCAATGTATTACAGATCATGTTATTCAGTATGGTACCACCTAGTCTACTATTCATCATCCCTGATAACAGGTTTCCGTGAAAGACTCCCAGTACTATCAACCAAATGAAGTGGAGTCAGAGAGGCTTTGGATTAACAATCAGCAACATTATAAAAAGGAATGATGGTGTTTTGACACACTGACACGAGGATAGATTGCTCTGGACCATATTGCATCCCTGTCCCCCAAAAGCAATCTTGGCCGTTGGTAAAAAACTTGTCTAAGCGATGACTCGGCACTACAATACAGGGAATAATCGAGATGTGATTTGGACACTCATCTACTGACTCCGTGTTCTTCATTTCTGCCCTTTAGGGGCCAAGGGGATGTGGGGCTTTGACATATTATTGCAAATCACGACATTATAGAATCTTGAGAACATGTGATGCTCCTTACGGAGTAGATGTTTTTATGTTGCACTGGTAGAAGACAGCCTGGCCTTATGATCCTCATCCTTTGTAGAAAACATGAGATTAAAAATTACACAATATAATCACAACTGTCTGTCTCTTCTGTGCAAATGGTGCCTTTATTTCCTGCTTTCCAATGTGTCACATTTTACTTTTCATAATGTACAAAGCCTACAATTTATAAAATCTTGTGCAAACACACGCTTGTTAGTTCAGTATAAGGTAACAACCTGTAGATACTGATATAAAAAGGAGCAGCTTGATATTCTCTTGCCAAGAGTTATTAAAATTAGAAGACCCACCAATAACTAATATTTAGCCAGGGGTCATCTCACTGAGGTTAGAAACCTCTTTTACAAAGGAGCCATGACAGCAGCATCACAATTTTCAGACAATCACTAAAACAGAAAATGTCCAAAAACTACCAAAGCTAAGACGGGAGGAGACTATTGAACAGTGTCAGTATCAGGAATTAAAATTCTGTTGCATCTTTGTCCGAATGCTTGGGACAGACTGTATGCGTCTTGTGATTGTAAGTAATGACTGAAAAACAAGCTCCTCAAAATAAGCCTGCAAAGATACGGGGGCAATAAATCTAAAATAGCTTTATAAAAAAATATATATATATATTTACTAATGGTGCAAGAGTTGACTAGCATGCTGAGGAGGCAGGTCACAGTGATGGTTCTGTCACAGTGATAGTACAAAATTTCCATTCTCTTCTCCCTGATTTTTGTATCCCTGAATAGGAACGTCTTAAAATACATATTGCATGAGACCCCAACATGCAAATTCCTGTGGTGCCGCTTTTCTTCTGTTTCTCAGGTGCAAAACCCCACTGCCAGTCCTTAGTAAAAAAAAAAAAAAAGAACATGCACAACTTCACATTTTAGTGCCGAATAAGCCACAAATACTTAGTAAATAAACGACTAAATAGTTTATTAGTAATGTGCTGGTACATTTTTTTACATTATGACAGCCAGGATATCCGCTTTCCCTGCTTCCAGTCGTTAAGCAAAGCTAAGGTATTGAAATCCAAGCTGAGACTTTATATTTAAGGAACAGATGTCTAAGTGCTATCGATCTTCTCATCCAACTCTTGGCATTTGCCCAAACTATTCTTTTAACGACTTTAGACTGATTTGACACATTTAATAAGATGGAGTTTATTTTTATTGCATTCTTTCCAGTTTCTTCTGAATACCATCCTAGCTTCTGTGACTTGTATCAACCATATCTTTTTTGGTCTTGATCTATCTGACCTATAAAAAGGGAATAGCAGTAATATCCCCTTCTCCCCTAAATAATATATCCCAGCTCTCATCCTGGCAAGGTCATTTAAATTTAATGTCTATTTTTGAAACAATATCTTCCAAAGGTGCAGGGCACAACACACTTGAACAAGAGCAAGTAAGAGGTTACTAATTGGTTAGTTAAAGATTCATGGAGAGAAACAGGAAGCAGGATATAGGAAGTATAAAGAACCATTGTTGTATTTTATGATTTGACTTGAGAGCCTTCTGCAGATGGACGGTAATGGAATAATGCAATCATGAGCGACAGTGAGTGGCAGATTTTCATTGTGGTTCAATTTAGCCATTGTATAATGAACAGGCAGCATCAATTCCCCTTTAATGATCTAAAAGGAAGGGAGAGAAATGGAACATGACAGACCAAGGACACACTGAATCCAGAGTGGGGTTTTGCACAAGTGTGTATTTTACCAGGGAAAAGTCTATGCAACTTGTGTCAAAGTTTATACTTGCAAGTCTGTTCCCTAGACGGTAACAGCCATTAACCAGGGCTACCCATCTGTATTCATAACACATAACAAGTTCACTCTATAAAATGGCTTAGGTCATGCACAATGGGAAAAATCCCTGCAAGCTATATGTGTTGTTACTAGCCAGCGTGCAGCCTCTGTTCTGGGGTAGATGCACTGAATAGAGAGAACAACTGATTTCAGCCTTGAGTAAATCTAAAAGGCCTCTTCCCATTAGCGAAAGGAGGTCAGATGCATTAGGTCATGGACTAACCACACTCATTCATACCCTGTCAAAGCAAAAGATGCCACCTACTTACATCAAATGCAAACAGAATCCATCCTAGAGAAAAAACAATGCTGCAGCTCTGATCTGATACTAGACAATGTTTTGGTCATTCTTTAAGTGCAACCTCAAACTGTCTTACAATTATAGAGCATCCTAACCGCACCACGCTACTTCCTGCAGCTGTCTTGAGGGTTTTGAGGCATCATTAAAATGAAATAATGGCATCCTGAATCTTGCATGGGATACTGAAATCCCTTAAAGGGGAGATGAGGCACATCCTTGGTCTAAGGCTATGTTGTGCTTATCATGAATTATGTTCTGTCACCCTTTATGGGAGTGTGTTTCTCACTTTTCTAACAGTGTAAGTGTCTTTTCAAATGCCAATTAGGATTTTCTTTGGGTTAGATGTGAGACAATAGAGTCACAGTGCTGTAAATATAGCACAGGATGCTGTTATTTGTCTTAGCATACTTATGCATTTGTCAGACCTTACTAATTTATCAATGTAATTCATATGAATGTAAGCTCTCTCACACATCTTTTCTTCCTTTAATTCCTGTTGTTCAGTCTTCAGTAATATCGCTCCGCTAAACCTTATTTAACCTAAAATCTAACTACTTTTACGATAACATATCGATATCAATATGTTTTCTTCTTAAAAGTTACATGAAAAATATCTGGACACACATTCAGGTGCACCTTTGTATTAGTACAATATCAACTTACATTTGTAGTCCAA